GAGTGGACTGCGTGATGAAGATGTAGTTATAAAATAAATAATGATTCAGCTCTAACTTTCAATTTTGTCCCTATTAAGTTGCTCAACCAGGTGTTGAAGGCAATAGAATTTGCTTTTCCCCTGTTGGAAAGCTATTTTGAGTGCAGCATGACTGAAGAACAGCCACTTATTAGCTGCTCGGCAGCAGCTTCAGTTTTTCTGCTAGAATCCCCCGCAATTGCTTGAACAACACTTTTGCCAATACTAATCTAGTTCAATCAGTAACTATGACCCTGTGGTATGAAATTATGCTGTGGTTGTGATTGCGGTAAGTTGTCTGCTATTTTTTCTAATGTCTCTGTTTCGTGGCCTGGTGTCGGCGAGGGGGATGATTTTGAGCTTCCGTTTACTTTTAATTCTTGTTCTCTTCATTGTATTCACTTAAATTCCCCTGTAATTTCAGTTCAGTATGCACCCTGGCTAAAATTCTTTGGTAGTGGTGTTGTGTATGTTACAGAGTTGCCATGTTTCATGCTGGAGCTCTTTCTTTCGGTGATGAGGGATGTAATCCTTCTGCATCCCAACTGGACTGTGAGGATTAATTAAAGCTTGCAATGCACTGTGAGTTCCTTGCATGGTACTGAAGTGGAAATTATTGTTCGTTACAGCCAGCCTGAATACCATCTGGGATTTCCATGTTATTGTTTCAGCTCTGTTGTGCATCACCAAGCTTGAGCTGGTACCATGAACAAAGGATTAGCATTGAACTCTGTTGTGTGTTCAGTGCTGTGTTCAGCACCTAGGTAAGGCCAAATACATCTCGAGTAGCTGAGCTCAGCACACCAGGACTCCACAGGCTTTTATGTAGCTTGAAGCCTGCAACATCCCTTTCCTTTTCCTGCACTTCCACTCTGGAATGGCCTGGATCCATGAAGCCCTTCACCTTCAGCCTTGTCTTCTGCTTACCTCCAACTGGGCTTTGAGTGACTGCAAGAAAGTGGTGGAACTGGGCTGTGCAGTTTGTAAAAGATGCATCCTTTTCCCATGCAGCAGAATCATCTGAAGCCCTCAGGGGACATGGCAAAAGGGGCTGGTCTTGCCTGACACCCAAAAAGTGATGCATATCCATCCTGCAGTATTCTTGTAGGCTTATAAAACCTACAAAACTTAACCTAAAACTTGTTTTGCTATTTTCCTGTGAGATCCATCTCCAAGCTCTGCAGTGCCCAAATTAATGTCCGCGAACTAAACGGCACAGCTATGATTTGTTCTGTTTTTATGCGCCAGCTTTAGTTCAGCTACGAAGGCATTCAAAAACGCACTCCTGTGACTCCACTGTCTTTGTGAGTGCCAACAAACAGACTGGGTTTAAATGACTGTGGGAACTCCCTTGGTATCATGACAGGAGCTCATTATCAAGATAGAAAATGGCATAAAGCTTAACCATCCAATTTGCTTGTGAAGGTTACCTGGAAAAGAGATTAGCTAACAGTTTGAACTTGACTTACTAATTGAAGGATTCTGCCATACATCTTAAGAGGGTAAAGATGCTTATCTTAAGTAAATTGGTACACTTGACTTTCCTAAAAGGGCACTGCTGAAGAGGTACAAATATACAGCTATCATCACACTAATTATTATATTTTTATGGAACTGATAGATTTCAGTTTTGGAGCTAAATACCAATGCTGAGCGCTAAATAAATACACGTCAAAAAGTTGGACACTGTCCCACTCTAACTTCCTGTTCCCTATCTCCTCCATAGCATTCGGCTCTCCTCAGCCTTTGGGGTGTCCGTTCTGGTTTTGTGAACAAGTACAAAATGGATTTGGCAAGAATTCTGCTGTAACCGTTCCTCAGTGGAGGGCAGCGCTGTGTGCGTTTGTCTGTTCTCTCGATGAAACATCAGTTTCTGTTTTATGAAGAAAAGCATATAGAATATCTACACTTCCAGATTCTGGAGCCGCTCTAGGGAGGAATGCCTACTTGATAATTTTCAAGCAATCACACTATGTGAACATATATTTCTTTGTCTCTGCATGTCCCCCAGGAACTTTTGAACCTTGTGTCCAATTTCCATTAATTTTTACTTACTGGTTGCAGAGATACTAAACTCTTATAAATTTCATAAGATATAGGGAATAAACCACATTAATGACCCCACCAGGTAAAGGTTTCAGTGAAGGTAATAGTTATCTGTGGCACTCGTCCTGATATTAGCAAAGCAGCATATGTAGATCTCAGAAACATGAGCTGCCTCTTGCTCAGGAACAAGGAGATAAGGTTATGAAGGACAGGAACCGAAAACTCAGAGTGGAACTTCAAGAAAGAGACTTGCGACAAATCTGTAGGAAGCATGTTTAAAGAGAAGAATGTAGGGGACTAAACAGAGGGTCAGAGCAAAAGAGAGGATTGAGAGGAGGCGCAAAAGGGGTGGAAGCATATAGGAAAGAACAGAGAACAAAGGGAAAAAGAAGATTTGGGAAGGGGAGACTATGGACAGATGAAGAACTGAAAAGGACAGAAAAGAGACTGAGAATCAGAACAAAAGATATAGGAGAAACTGACGTTTCAATTTTTATGACAAGATAAATGTAATTTATTGTCATTATAGCTTCTTTAATTACCTTTCAACCTTTTTTTTTTTAAATGATGCCCATCTGTTCCGGGTAACAAGGTTTTATGACTTTTGTTCTCTCACCTTTCCCACGGCTTACATTCCCACTTTAATTACAGATTCACTTCAGAAGCCTTGCCTAATGTTTTTGCACCAGTGCTTCCTATTTGTGGTGATACTGCACTTGGGGAAACAAGAACACCTGTCTCTCCTGGTGGAAGGCTACTTGCTATTCTTGTGGATGTCCACCAGATGGCAAAACTGGTGTTTTTGTAGGGTTTTCAGGACCCCTTCAGAAAATAATATAACCTAAGGAGAGCTGGTTTAACAACAGATCCTTTACTGCACAGATTGAAAAAGGTGATTAAAATTAAGTGAGTAGATTCTATGTTGGAAAAAGTTTATTTCCTAGGAAGAATAATAATAAAAAAGGAAATAAAAGATGCACTTAGAAAATGGTGGTAGTTAGGTATGCACAATGTTCACTCTAGTCCCTGCAAATCTCTATGTGCGAGGAATATAAATCTCAGGAATCTCTGAATTAATACTACTACCCTTTTTTCTGTTGAAATAAATTATATAGAGACAATAATGTTACCTCATGTCTAATGTCTGAAATTCTTGTGACTTTCCCAGCTCTCCTTAGTTAGAGTGATACACAGGTAAGTAAATAAGCCAGGAACAGTTACAATAAACTGTTATTTCCTAGCTTCTGTAGTATAGACATAGGAATAGCTGTTAAGATTTGTTAATATTCTTTTCCCTCCAACCTTCCTTCATGACAGAAGATTGTAATTATGAAGATAAGGACTGATTTTCTTCCCTCACCTGTATGGGGTTTTTGTACCATTTTAACCATGCTGGCTTTAAAGACTTCTGCATTTAATCACTGAAGCTTTCTTGCATGTATATAGTTATACGGTGCACAGAATTTAGAGAAGCAATGTTTATTTCTTTTAATCTACCAAAAGAGGCTATACCAACACAGCATTTGTTATAAACTAATGTAACTGCATGTATTGACATAAGCTTCATACTAACAGGCTGCACATCTGACACTGTTAGATGTGAAATGTTCTTAAACTATAATCACTTGACTTAATTTTACATTGCATTGCCCCCTTCTTGTACTGCACTATCTCTGCTGGAAGGCCTATGCAATGAAAAAATCAGGTCCCTTTACCTTCCTCCAAGAAAATAAACCCTTATCCCCTGCAAAAATGTCTACGCCCACAGTCTCTGGATACGAGTAACAGCTCACTGGTGTCTGAGCGACTCACGGCCTCAGTTTGTAGTAGTCGATCTTTTCTTAAACCCCAAAAATAAGAGGGGTGAATTCACCTTTCTTTTTTAAAACCACAATCACGTCTTTTCAGGTTTGAGCCTCTTTTCCGATGGCAGGGACAAGGGAAGGATTATTTGCTTCATCCACGGTTCTGTAGGTTGACTTGAATTCTAGTTCCAACAGAGGAACTGTTGGTAGCAGCAGCAGAGCTTATTGCAGCCTTTCTCTTTTACTGGCTCGCTGACTTGCATCTGGCGTCGACTATTTTTGTTCAATGACTCCTAATCAATTATATCCTGCAGTACTCATTTTTCTGAGTATCAAGACACAAGTAAAAAGATGAGGCCCTTCCCGCCACACGTAAAAGTTATGGCACTGTGGGGGGAGAAAAAAAAAATCAGTGCTATATTTGGCGTGTTCCTAATTGCACTGTTCTATTTCCAGCTGCTGAAATCTGCACTAGAATTTTAATTAACAGAGCAAATTCATGCAGCAGATCCTAACAACAGGAAACGGTTACGCTATTTAAATAGGCTTTGAAATGATCAGATTTTATCTCCCAGAGCAGCACTGAAATGAATATTAAAGCTGCTTCTGCTCTGGAAAAGCCTGCACGGGCGCAGCCAGCCGCAGGAGGTCAAACGCCAACAACCTTCGGAAAAACGGTTAAAACGGGGCCAGCTACCCAGACGACAGGGCAGGGCGAGGCCAAAAAAAAAAAAA